TTTTTCTTCTATCTTTTTTTCATCTTTTTTTTTGTCTTTTTTTCTTTTTTTTCTTCTGTCTTTTCTTCTTTTTTTTTTTCTTTCTTTTCTTTTTTTTTTTTTTTTTTTTTTTTTTTTTTTTTTTTTTTTTTGTTCCTTTTTCTTCTTTTTTTTCTTTTTCTTTGTTTCTTTTTTTTTTCTTTATTTTTTTTCTTTTCTTTTTTCCTTTTCTTTCTTCATTCTTTTTCTTTTTCTTCATTTCTTTTCTTTTCCTTCATCTCTTTTCTTTTCCTTCATCTCTTTTCTTTTTCTTCATCTTTTTTCTTTTCTTTTGTCTTTTTTTTATTCTTTCATCTCTTTCTATTCTTTCTATTCTTTTTTTTTCTCTCATTTCTTTTCTTCATCCTTTTCTTTTTTCTTTTTCTTCAACCCTTTTCTTTTATTCTTTTTCTTTTTATAGATCTTTCTATAGTGTTTTTATAGTTTGTGTGTTGAAATCATTGTAATTAGAGAATCATTGGTGTGGATTTCATACTTTTGCACATTGTTAATTTGAAGTTGCTGTTGTTGAAAAATCATCAATAAGAGTTTTAACTTTTTGCGCTATTATGTTGAAGTTGTCACACTTGGCCATGTTAGATTTACTTTTTTTGTGCTATATAGCCCTTTTTGTAATGCTATTGTTTTATATAATGTTGTATATTTATTAAAAAAAGTTAGATAATTAGAGTTAATTTTAAAAATATATTTTATAAAATGAATATAATAAAATTTTTAAAAAAAATGATCATGAAATAATTTGATTTTATTCGAAACATAATTATGATTTTTTCTAAATAATTAGATAGTTCCTGAATATTAAGATAGATTGGTGTTCCGAAAAATGCTCATTTTCTGAAACATTTTCAGAATATAAAATCAGAAAATTTTCTGAAAATTTTCTTAAATAAAAATTCAGAATATTTTCAAAATATAATAATAAATTTTTTTTTATAGAGCTTACTTTTTCTGTCTAGCAGTAATTTATAAATTTACTTATACTTACTAAACACAAATAATCATATGTAGGTATATTTAGTTTAGACAATTTTGTGAATAAGCAATATCTATTAACTTCTTCAAGACATGTTTGAAAACTTGTTATAGTTTTAGTAGGTACTATTGGGGTTTGTATTTGTGTTATAGAATTAAGGAATATTGGTTGTGTTATGGTATTGATAAATATGGTTAAGTCTTGTACAAGTATTGGTTGTGTTATAGTATTAACAGATAAAGTTAGATTTTGTACAGTAATTAGAGACTTTTGTGTTATTATATTGAGATATGTTCGAGTTAGTAAACTATCAAATTTTTCTTTTCTTAGTAATATTTTGTTTTTATTTCTTTTTCAAATACTTTTTTTTTCCTTCTTTCAGATTGTTGTTCTTAAATTTTTGGTATACTTTTATCTTTTGTTGCTTGGTTTAGATTTGTATAACTAATTCTCTTGTAT